GCGGTATACTTCACGTTCATTACGTATTGCTGGAAGTTGCTCTATTTATTTGCGATTGTGGAATTTGTTATTGTTGTGGTTGTGGTGAATTTGTTGTAATTAGCCAGTGGTGAATTACTTGTTGCTGTATTTGTGTTTTAGTGCTGTTTGTTGTTGTGTTTGGTGTTGTGGTTGTTGTGATTGGGACAGCGGTGGTGGCAGTGACTGTGACTGTGGCTGTGATTGCAGATATGTGACAACTAGGGTTGCCGCCTTACTCGTTGTATTACTAAATAAAAATAAAAATTTTAAAAAGTATTAACGAAATCTGTAAAAATTTTTGTTTAATTTTGAAAAACTTGGAAAACATATGTACTAAATATGTATGTGATGTTTTGTATTGATATTTATATGTATATATATTTCATGATATTTTAAAAGAAAAGTAATTTCTATATTTTATACTTTTTAACGAGGGTTAACAGCATAGATATTAATTCTTTTGCATTAAAAATAGTATATTGTTTATTTTACGGGTTAAAAGTGTTTTATCCTACGAATATCTTGATAAAATTAACTATAAAACAAGGAGGGCTAAGTTCGGATGTAACCGAACATTTTATACTCACCAGTCAAATGTATACTCGTTTGAGATTTCTTTGTGGATTGACGTGATATTTTCCGGTGAAGATATTCTGGGCACTGGTCCATATTTAACATAGGGGCTTCAACAGTTTGGTTCGGTTAGACAATTTTGGTCTGGTGGCATGCTGGCAATATTATTGCACAAAGTTTTACCCGATATAATCATTGTTGCTTGATATGCATAGTGGAAAGTAGAAATCAAAGTGGTATTTAAAATAGTTGTCATATGGAAAATAGAGGCGTGGTTGTGATCCGATTTCTTATTTCACTTTTGACAAAACATGAAAGGAACGATACCAGATTTGGTTGAAGTAGGTTAACAGATCTCAGAATGAGTTTTCTACCTAAAAGTGGGCTGTGCCACGCCCACTGACGGTTTACAGACGCAGGTTCTATAAAGTCATCTCATACCATCCCAGAATGGGTTAATGTCTCTGGCGTGTTTAGTCTTGATTTATCGCGTTTTTAGTAGTTTAACAGTACCGTTATATGGGGTGGGCGGAGTTGCCACCCGTTTCAACTATTTTCACACCGACAATAGAAGTGATAAAACATTTTACTTCTAGTGAATTTGCTGTTATTATAACGTAGCGGTTTAAGTCCTTTATTAAACCTGAGGCGTACACCCGCACCAAAAATTTTAACGGGCCCCTCCGTAATGTGATCCTGTGGCGCAGCAGTCTTGTATCTTATTGCGGGGCTTAGTTATGGCTTGGTATTTGTTTTGATTAATGGCGTTTTGTGGGCGTGGCGGTGGTGATTACGCCCATCTGCAATACCAACGAGTCTCACGTACCATGAAACATACACGGTTCAAAAGATATCTCATTTTACTCGAATTAGAACACGGACGGACGACAGTCAAGCCAGTTTTCAACTCGTCTCTTCATCCTGATCATTTATATATATATAACCCTATATCTAACTCGATTAATTTCAGGTGATACAAACAACCGTTAGGTGAACAAAACTATTATACTCTGTAGCAACAGGTTGCGAGAGTATAAAAAGTTGAGAACTGCTGAAACGTTAGTAATATAATAATATAATAAAATATTTTTTATAATAAAAACTAAAGTTCTAATTAATTTAATATACAAGCAAAAAGGTTACCCTTATTTTATATATACATTAGGATGGGACAAAAAAAAAAGAATTAATTTTTCCCTTCAGATACCATGACAATATCGTCGTAAATAACAAAAAACAATCTGGTAAAGCTTGAGCTCTTTATATTTATACTAAGGGGTGGCGCATGGTGATTTTCCATATAAATAACACAATATTGTTTTCTTATTTTGTTTGGAGATTACTGAGCTAAGGAAAAAATCAAATTTTTCGTTTTAAACCACCCTAATATATTATACATGTAAAAATGTTTTTTTTAAAAATATTTTTGAAACTAACCTGCCGTTGTATTCGATAGAAAACGTTTCGTTTTGTCCAATATATAAGGCAAATTGTAACCATCTTTTGTGTAGCTAAATGGTAGAAAATATATAAAAAATTAAAATTAAATGTAAAAAATTTATTCTATATAGTTTTTTTTTTTTTATTTGATTTTCAATATATATATTTATTCACAAGTTTTACTTACATTTCTGTACGTTTAGTGCAGAAAAGATTTTTGAAATTACTATAAATGCAGAAAAGCGTAAATGTGGGTAGTCCCTGACCCAAATAACGGGCAAACTTTATTTGATCCGCCTTATTTAAGCCACTTTGATTGAGTGAGAGAAATGGTCGATGATCCTGTACGTCGTATTCCTTAAAGAAATAAAAAGAAAAATTTTAATTAATATTATAACTTTTTTTTTAAGATAAAAATTTTTAAAAACCCTAGTCTTAAACTTAAACTTCTAGGGATAAGAAAATACCTTTTTATTGTTTTAGTTTTAAAGAAATGTTCACTTTTCTAAACTTCTTATAAATTTCGTTAGGAAAATTGGTTATCACAGATTATGTTAAATAAACTAAAAATTAGTTGCACATAAAAATAGGAGTATTCTATTGTATTATATATAGTTGAAAAATTCTAAAAGTTTTAAATTAAAATAATTTTCAACCTTTACTTTAAATCTAGTCTATGAAATACTGGCAATGTTGAAATCTCTTTTACTAACTGCCAGAAAACACTCGAATTGGTTAGTTTTCGTTCAATAACACTTTTTTTCTTATCAGTTCTGCGGGTTTTTATGAAGTTGCCCCCCATTGTCTAAAGCCAGAAATGACATTTGTCTAAAAAAACTTTATGGATTATCCTATACAAATGTTGTAAAAAAGTGGTTAGAAAATTTTGAGAATAAAATATATCGTTCTTCACGAAAGCGATCAAACAAACATAGCTTATATTGAAATATTATGAATTCTTAACAAGATTCTTGATCTGATCAAATTTGACCCGGACTGGTCAACATAAACGTTTGTGCGCGCAACCGAAACTTTATAAAAAAAAATTCTCTTTTTGTTTAACGATGATATGTAACGCAAAAGATTTAACTAACGATTTTTAATATGGAAAAAATTGAACAACAAGTTTTCTTCGGCTACGAAATCGTTGAACATGTTGTAGAAGTGTTTTGGGGAGTCTACCTAAAATGCAGTCAGTGAAAGTCGTGAAGGGATCAAAAACGTGCCTCTGTTAATGACAATAACATCGAAAAAGTCAAAGAAACAGTGCTTGAAATTCATACTGCTGACATCTTAGAGATATGTTAACAGAAGATCTTAACATATCTAATGGATCGACTCAACACATTTTGAATAATATTTAAGGTATATGTGGTGTATGAAGAGCGTCAATGCTTGACTCGTACCAATAGATCTGAATCTTTTACACAAATGTCGAATAGAGGTCGCAAAAGTGATACTTGACAACGCAGCTTACATTTATTAAACGCCATATTACTAATGACAAGACATGGGTTTATATATATGACGGCAAAACTGTCCAACAATCTAGCAAATGGCGCTCCAAAACTGTGTCGAAACCGAAAAAAACCAAAATTCGCTGAAGGCACTGAAGGCCTAGTCAGCCAGGGTTTTTATTTTTAAGGCGAAATGTATTTTTTTTTGTCAGTCTGTATACATTTTGTCTGACTTTATTTTTACCACAATTCTAGGCAGTTATTATTTAATCATATCTTAAAGCCACTTTAAGAACTG